TGTTGAACATCTTTTATCTGGTCATTTTGGGGTATATTTAACAACTAGAAAATGGCACAAAATAAGAATATTTTTTCCACTCTGATTGGCTGCTGTTATACTGATTTTAACTTGAATGTCCATTGCATTTTTCATAGACGCCTGTGAAAATAATTTCCATTCCCATGAGTTTTTTGTTCTCTGGGAAATTATTTTTGATGATAAATACAGAAACAAGCATAAAAATCAAAACATCTACAATAGTGATAGGAATATTAATAATAAAATAATAGTCAGTGCAAAGTAGCCTACAAATTCTTTGGTGGGGGGGGAGGGACCTGAATCTGGGATAGGGGGGCGCTGGCCCAAAAAAGGTTGAGAAACACTGATTTCGTTGGTAATGTTGCATGTTCTAAATTACTTGCAAAAACATTGACTGAAAGGACTCTTATTTAATGTTGAGGGATTTTTGCCTGTAAGGCGAACCTTTAGGGCACAGACATTTTACATTTTGTTTTGAGTTGAAATGTACTGAAGTCTTATTTAAGTTTGAGTGTTTAGCTTGTTAATTGTATTGTTAGAAGCAATTGTTTGCACTATTCAAAGACACTTTTTATTAAACTGTGGCAATAGCAACGGTATAGTTAATTTCTATCACCACTATAAGTTTCAGGCTCAGGATTTTTTTTTTACTTTAAGCCCTGTATACTGCCATGAAATGGTGATGACAGTTTTACCAAATAAGTTTTTTTTTTTTTTTTTTTTTTTACAAAGCAGTGTGCTTTGTAAAGCAGTGTGGGTGTGTGGGTGTGTGGATACACCTCAACCCTGCTGTCATGCTGTGTGACACAGAGACAGTGAAGTAACCTGGAAACATCAGCCAGCTTGCTGCTGCTGCTGCTGACTGATAAACCTCTGACCCAGTGGCTCATGCTCACAAACATCCTGTACAAACAAACTATTTACTTATTGTTTGGTTAAGATTCATCAGGTATTTAATTACTGAACTGGGCCTGACTAGTAAAGATAATTAGACCTGAAAAATAAAAAGAGTTCAAATTAAACATTACATCGACCGATGTGGCATTAACACGGCACTTTGATGAATCAGTAACAACTCAACGTTTTTTTCCCCACTTGTTCACACCTCAAATTAAAATCTATCTCCAGTAATAAAATCTCTGGATCATCTGTAGTTCTGCTGGTGCTTCTTTCAAACAATCTTAATGCTTTCAGTCTCTTTGGTTTTGCTGTTGATATTTGTCCACATCTGCTGGTTATTTACTCCAGAAGCCAATCGGCTCAGACATGGAGGCTAAAAGTCAATCTGAACAGGAAGAGAAGCTGAAGAAAACTGAAGTGTTTGATGAAAAAAATAGATCTGTCAGTGAAAAGTATGAGAATGGTTTTATCTCACAAATTAGCTGCAACTATCATATAAAGTATTAAAAAATACATTACTGCAAATTAAAGCCTTTGCATCCATAAAGCCGCCTTTAATTCGCTCATCACAATAAACCTAGAAGCCTTCAAATGGCTAAATTAATACAAATGAAAGTGATCCAAAACAACTGAGTCAGTTTAGTTTTCAGTGATAGTTGGGCCTGAATGAGTCAACAGTAGCTCCGCCTCCATCGAACAGATAGATGCACATTTTGTCACTTTGAAAATAAATCATCTTAATGAAAATGTTCCAAATAGTTAATAAAAAGTTTTGGTGCTAAAATGAGGTAGGGTTTTTATTTTGGTCACATCAGAACTGGTTTATTTTGCAAATCTGCAATGGCAACATTTTTTTCACATCAAACGAGTCACATGATCAATAACTGGTTGTTGCCACTGGCGTAAACCACAAAGAAGTCACGACAGGAAGTAGTTGGAGGATCACGGCACTGCTTGTCATTAAAGAGTTATCGCTTGAACAAGTGTAATCACGTGTGATTTTAATGAGGTTTCTTATTTAATGGAATTTAAGGCGAAATTATGTTTTTTCGACATTAGTGAAATATTTAAAAAGCTTTGCTCACATTAGGAATGGAAAGGCAGCTACGTTTTGTTGAGTAATGAGTTTGGGGGTTTTACTTTAGGTCCTATAATCATCTTGAACTAGACCTTTTTGTCTCAGCAGTTCTTCTTTTTGTTCATAAAAAACAAACCTAAACCACCAGCCTGGCAGCTCTTATGAGGCGTTTATGTTTCTAATCATGCTGTTGTTATGGATTAAAATCTCTAGCTTGATTTGGGCATCGATCCAGAAACGGTCTGGTGCAACTTTGAAAGCCTGAGCCTTACTGCTGCTGTTTGTTGTCGTGCTTAACTCACTGTAACACAAAATAAGATACCAACTTATGACAGTGCAGGTCAGACTTTTGCACTCTTCAGAGTTTAATCCTAAACATTTTATAAGATATTCCTGCTGTAGAACGTGTCTGGCAGAGGCAGAAAAACAAACCTGAAGTGACGTTTTTATTGCCAAACAGATGTGCAGAATTAATTGCTGATGTTTTAGGCTGTAAAATATTTCCAGTTTTACATCCATCAACCAGGCAGTATCTGACAGTTGATCTAATTAACATTTTAATTGCTAGCTTTATTCACAAAATATTCGGCAACCTCAATTTTCAACTTTAAATGGGAGTTTCAGTCATGACTGAAGATTGAGTCACTGCAGCTACGTTGGAATTTACCTTCTAGGAAGCTAATGAGGACCAGGTCAAATCACAGCAAGCCTCGGCTGCTGTTAGTAAACTGATCTTAAAACGCTCTTAGTGGTATTTAAAACTGATACCGCTTTTAGCTCAACCAGTTAACCGGATTTTATTTTTCCCTGTAGGTTCTGATTTTATTCCTGTTTAAGACATTTATAATTATACAGTTAGTGTTTTGATAATATTGCTTTTTTAATTTTTTTTTTTTTTTACCGTTCTAGATTTGATTGTGTTAAGTTAATGTTTTTTATGCCTGTCGCATAATTCCACAGTTCCTTATCTTTTACAGGGTCTATGTGAAGCATTCACCTGCTTCGATGTTTTAGCTTTTTGATGCTTTGATGAATCAACTGTGATCTTCAAGATTTGGCTCTTTAAAAACTATATCCGTGGGATATAGGTTTTTAATGACTAAATGAAAACTAACTTTTATGAAGTAATAATAGATAAAAAAATATTAAACATGGTGCCTACAGAATAATTCATTTCCTTTAAAGTGGCTTAATTGGACAGAGGTCCAGCGGCTGGTGCTGGTATTAATACTTTTGAACCGTTATAAATGAAACACTAAGCCAAATTTTGATGTGTAGCAATGACTCTTCGCAAAATGTAATGTTTCAATTGTTGATTTTCATGTTTTTTTGATGTAAATCACTTTGAACTGTCTTCTTATTGCTGTTGTTTCAGTAGTGCAGTGAGGGTGTCTCCAGTGACTGTAGCATAAAGATACCTGTGTCTGAAAGGTCCATTGACCTGTTAATCTGTGTTTAACACGTTAAGCAAGAGACAATGGGATGGCAGCTTCTTCAAACGCAAAGTGACAGCAGAGAGAGCCAGTTCTCCTCCAACAGAAACGATGTTCTGCTGTGCTTATCTGTCTCTTGTTCTCTCCGCCTCCAGAAAGGTCTCAGTAGAAATACTCCCTATGAGGGAACAGAAACAAGTGGGGGTCGGTTCACTCTGTTGATGACAGATTCTGCATCTAAAATGGAAGTTTCAAAAGAAAGTTAAGTGAACCAGCTAGCAGAAAACGGATTCGGACATTTCCAACCCTGCGTTCTGTCTGCTCCAGACAATAAGCAGCTGCTTGCTTTTGTCATTGTTGCATTGTTGAATTCAATTTGTGCTAATGGAATAATCTACAGCAGCCGTGTTATCTAGCCAGGTATAAACACAGCACTGATGGAGTCATGTTCCACGGCTCATTAAGGGAAGGCAAACATACACTCTGCAACCTCACACACACTTTGAATTCCTGTCTTTATTAGGACAGTGTATTGACTTTATTTCCCCCACAGTAACCCATCAGTTTGAACCCCAAGGTCATGGAGTCCTATAATTGTCAACAATCAATTTTCTTTTTTGTTTTTTTCATTATTACTGTCAGCTGTTATTTTAGTGCAAGACAAACAATAATTCAAGAAAAACAAGTAGGATCCTTGGGGACTGACATGAGCAAATAGGTCATAAAAAGTGCAATCCGACATCTTTACAGTTTTAACTTGATTATCATGGTTATTAGTGTCAGGGACCGAGCAGTCCAGCACGGAGGACACAGGTGTTTAATTCACAAAGTGGATTTTTAATTACTCCCAAAAGAATGAAAAATAAGTAGCAAAATAAACACTGAAACGGGAAACCCAATAATAGAGGTCAAGCCAATAAACTAGAGTCAAAAAACGAACAAAACCTCAAGCAGACATAAAACAAACTGACCTGTTGGAATGAGGCACAAGTTAACTGAAATACTGGTTTAGCTGAACTTTGTGGACACACAAGGAGGAGACAAAATAACCATAAAACAATGAATGAGACTCCAAATCAGCACTTCAGGATGAAACATGGGGTTCAAGCTCCGCCCTTAGCCCCGCCTCCTGCCAGCCAGGAAGGAGAAACCAAAACAACCAGGCAACTCAAACAAAGGAAGATATTAATTCAAGAAAAAACTGAATTTTAACCTTGCAGTGTTGATATGTGTGCACTTCATATAAACACTCTAAAGTGTGATGGAAAAATAAATTAATAAAGGAACAATATATTGGATAATCAGTAGTCTGGCCATTGTCTCCCTGGGCTGTTCTGCTCCATTCAGATCTCTTACAGCTGAGGCTGGGCTTTCACTTGGATTCAATCAGACCAATCAGTGATCAGAAGGAGAAGTTGTAAATGATGACGTCAATTTTCTTTGCTGTTTTTTTGTAGTCTGCCAGTAGTTTTAACAATGTCAGCAGAGGAAGTGACCAAAGCCGTTCAGTCCGTGTCGGCCGCATGTTGAATTAATATCAACAGCCGCTTCGTGCGGACCGGCTCTGCTCTCTTCACAGTGGAGGATGGTTGTTTACAGCGCTGGCAGTTTGCGATAATCTTCGTAGTGTCAAACTGGCACGTTACAAACATCATAAGTAAACCTTACATCTGTCTTATGTAAAATGTAGAACTTCAACAGAGTCCTTCACCTCCAGGAAGCAATAATTCCTCAACAGCCAAGAGCTCAGACCCTCTGGACGAAGCAAAGTGTAGAACAAGGAGCTGGCTCATACCAGGCTGGATAATTAGTAATATATTTAGAGAAGTGATGACAAAGTAAACTAAAGTGAAACAAATTTGTGGTGAGGTGTGGATATTATCCCGTGAGGCCTGCCATTAGGGTCTAAAGAAGATCTCTAACAAGAAATGTACTGGCTCCTTTAAATGTGCCAATACATTTAAAGTCAATAATGACTGGAGGTATTATTGACAGTATTAATACTGGCAACTGCTGTATTAACACCACAGTCCAGCTGGGACAACTGATCTCAAGAGACGAACTGTCGACCAGCAGGAGGAGCTCTATGAGAATTTTTTTCACCACAGCTAACCTTAACCATTACTAGTCCAGACCTCATCCCAGCCTGAACCTTCCTATGCTACATCCAGCCCTAAACATGAAGCTCCATCACATTCATCTGGCTTTTGTCCCCAAAAGCTCAGCAGTCATTGATGGGGATGATTATACCAGAAAAGGTCCTAGAGAGGCAACAAGTGCTGCTGATGCACTCACCCACACAAACACCCACACACCCCACACCCACAGATATCTGCAGCTATGTGCACCCACAGGCTTCACACACACACACACTCACACACACACACACACATTACATCCATTCTAAACCTGACGGAGATGTACACACCGACAGACACTCATCTGGCTCTGCATTAAGACCTTAACAAACACTCCGTCTCACCCTCAGACATACACACATGCTTTCATAGACGTCTCCTGTTCATGTGACGGCCCTGTCAACACCGGGGGTTGGTGAGGGGGCGGGGGTGGCTTGCAGAATTGCTGCAAGCTGATAGGCCGTCACCATACCAACGGGGGCGGGGCGGAGTCGGGAGGCTGGGGAGGAGGAGCCATGGGCTGATTATAAAGCTCTCCAGAGGAGCAGTTTCTGCTCCGCTGAGCTCCCTCCTCTGTGAATCTGCGCCTTTATTTAGTCTTTCCTGTTATCTGGCCGGCGAGCCGACACTCGGCGTTCTGAGAGGAGGACAAGCGGACGCACACACGGAGGGAGGGAGGGTGAAAAGGGTGAACAGTCAGACAGAGTTGTTTGTTTCCCTCCTCCCTACGTCTACCTGCCCATCACTGCGTCTCGTGGATCTATCTACACTGTGAGTGACAGCCCAGAAGACGAGGGGAAACCTGTTCTCCACTGCTCCCCGGGGAGCCTTCAAGTCATCCCTCCATCCTTCTGGCTGGCTGTAGATGACCTCTGCTCTTCTGTAAGTAACCAGTTTCGGCCGCAGCCGCGTCGGGTCACGGTTCTGACCAAAAAAAAGCCTAAGAAGGGGGTAAGAAGGGTCGCCTGGCAGAGACGGCGCGGCGTGTTGCGTCTCAGCGGGACGGAGGTCGTTCTAATTAGATTCCTCATTAGCAGGGGGAATTCATCACTGCATCGATGTTAATTTTTGTTTTACTTCAGCTTCTGCTTTGGTCCTTCCTGTTGTGGTTAGAGTCATGCAGGAGCAGGTCTTTTTCAAAATGCATGAGGGGGGTGGGTCTGTCTTTAATGCTAAAAACAAGGTCACTGTTGGTGCACAGTAAGGGCAGCCCTTACATAATGGCCAGTGAGTGCAACAGGTACTGATAAGACGACGGATGAGGCAGCTTTCAGGAATCCGTCTGCACAGAAACTGTTGCTTCTCCATGGAGGAAATGTCAGTTTCTCTCATTTTCACTCAAATCTCCTGAACAGGTCAACCAGGAGCTCACTCTGATTCACAGAAATCCATTTGCACACACAGCACTGTTTACCCATGAGGGCCTGTGGGTGTAATTGGGTATCTAATGTGTGTGTGTGTGTGCACGCACAAGACCCTGCTTCCCTTTTCCATGCTTCTGTCATGCACTGTTGAATCATGCACAGTTTACTCTGCTGCCTGGCTGAAGTGCCATCACAAACAGTCTGAGAGAGAGAGAGAGAAATGACACCTCTGGTCAGGGTGCTGCATACTGTTATCCAACAAAGAAGTTTCAGTTATTTGTGTTTTTACCAACCACATTTAGTTGAAGACAGCAACTACATCGATACATCGCTAAATGTGCAGGTAGAAGGGAATACATGTGTTAGGAATAAAACAGAGCGCCAGTGGTGCCTCGTTTCTGTTACATCACTCAGGTGCAACTCAGAGCTTCGAGCCAGGGTTAATAACATCAGAGGCACTGACTGCCAAAGGCGGTTATTTACTCTACAACTTACAGTTTTGATTACCAAAGCAAACACTGAAACAAGAGCGAATGTAGTACAGGACTGCTGCAAGTAGCAGCAGAAATTTCAGTGAGCTGAGGGGAGAGGGTTGTTGACTGGAAAGACGGCAATAAAAGGATGCTAAACCTGGGGCTAGGCGAGTCCTTTTCCCGCATTTTGTGACGTTATGTCGTAAATTTTACACCAGTATAAGATAGAGCATGGTTGTGAAGTGTCAGGAAACTGATAAAACGTTTCATATTCAGCTTACCTTTTGTAGTCCTGAATAGAATCCAGTGCAACCAATTGTCTTAGGAAGTCATTAACTTAACAATTTAGTCAAAGCACAAATCCAGCTGGCTTACTGAAGGTCTTGGAGGTTTGTCAGAGATCATTAGCAAACGTATGAGTGTCATGTGAACACTGAACACACCAGAGAGGTCAGGTCAGGTCAAGAGGTTGAGAGGTTTAACTACTTGCTCCCAGAATTATGTAACAAAAATGTGTTTTTACGTGGAGGAGGTCTGAAATTGAGTAGCAATAAGCTAGTTTTCCATTCAAATGTCATGCAAAAATTTGAACAAACTTTTAAAATGTCCCAAAACAAACAAAAAAAGAAAACGGAAAGTTATTTAGCAAGCTGGATATTTCTTTAACCAAATAAATATTTAACCCCAAGCCACATATTTAGTTAGTAGGCTAAATATTTAGCTTCAGCCTGAATATTGAGTTAGCTAGTTTTATATTTAGCTTCAAACTAAATATTTTGTTAGCTAGCTTTATATCCAAATAATTAGTTCAGTGTTTCCCAACCATGGTCCTCAAGGGACACTGTCCTACATGTTTTAGAGGTTTCCCTGATTTAATGTGCCTGACTCAACTGATTGCAGTTCAGGAAACGCCTGTTAATCAGTCATTGATTGAAATCAGCTGGACTGAAGCAAGGAAATGCCTAAAACATGCAGGCCAGTGTGCCTTGAAGAGTTAGCTAGCTTTATATTTATCTCCAAATTAAATATAAAGCCAGCTAAATAATTACCTGTATGCTAAATATTTAACTGATATGCAAATTTACATGCATTTTTGATTAGACTACCAAAATAAAAGCTTATTACCACTATAAAATCAAAGCTAGTTATAATAAAATAGTTAAAAAATATGACTCTGCAATATGAATCCCCATTTCCTTCATTTATGACAAACTAAATAAACATAATGACCACCCTATAGATATCAGCTTGTGCAGTGATGTTGGTTTCTGTATTTTAAGCTAAGTCAGTTTGACTCACTTTTCAAGTGCGATTTTCCAAACTCTTCTTTGCTGACCGCTGTATACGATAAAACAATACATTATGTTTGTAAGGCCGACCATACACTTTGAGTGCTAATTCTCTTGCTATTTTTACCTTGTGTTACCAGCGTCTGTGTGGTGCTAAAATGCACACCCTCAAGTTTAGCAGCAAGCAGCTTGAATAAGGGTGTGAAAGCTGAATGGGCGGCACATGCTGTGTTGACTCTATATTTAGAAGTGGAATTATTTTTGAGTTTTTGGAGCTGTAATTAAGTTATAAACTGGTCTTTTTTTTAGTAATCTTTACATTTTTAAATATTAAAACAAATACAAAAACATTTGTTTGCTGTTGTACTTGCTTAGGCGTCACTTTTTAGACGTTTTAATCTCGGTCTAGTCTCAGGTTGTAAAACAAAAGCACAGGAAGTGTGTGAAATGCAGCAGAGCAGGACATAATAGGACTCGATTGACGAAAACGTTTCTCGCTGTCATTTAGATCTGGTTTTACCTTTCGTTTGCTGCAGCTGAAGCATGACAATAGTGTTTATATAAGCAGCTTATTATCATGTGTGTGAATCATCTCACAGCCCCAGGCCCACTCTATCATGGTAATGTGAAGATCCACCTGACTGTGCTCAACAGTGGCCCTGGCTCTGCCACTGAACGCCATGTTAGAGACGGACAAACAGGAAACATTTGGTCAAAGTCCCTACATGGAAGACTGTTGGTGTTTCACACGTCTCAACGCTGCTGTGCAGAAAAGATGCTGAAAGTATATCTTCTGTGAGATTCCTCAGATCTCCGTACCACAGAGGCCGACTTCTGGTCTTCTGCTGCAGCAGCAGGGTATGTGCTGACAGTGTTTGCCAAAACACATTTGAAAAATAGCTTAACATCCGTCAGATTAGATGGTGAGCTTCTGTGATCATACATTTTCAAGCCGTGCCACAGATTCTCAAGGAAACGTAGGTCCTGACTTTGACTAGGCCACTCTAACACATGATTATGAGTTGTACCATTGTATCTCTGACTTAATGTTTTGGGTCTTTGTGATGGAAGGTGACTACAACTACATGAGTAACTCCCATAACACTGGCTGACTCGGATGTTCACTAAGTAGAAACACTAATTTTTTATTTTTTTTTATTTTATTTTTTTTTTAGCATGCTTTGTAAAACTTACAAACTTGGTGAAATTTAGTGTATGAAATTCAAAATTGTATTCTGTTGAGCTTTTATTTATTTATTTTTAATAATTGTGTAATTGCAGAAAATAATACACACATATGGTTATTTAATTTCTGAAAGCTGTGTGAACACCACCTGTGGGTTTTGCAATGAGCCAAAAGCTTTGACTAATCCAGAACACTGTCTGGAAACCGCTGAAAATCATTTGGGGAAAAGGTCCATGTTTGGACACATTGAGTCAGCTGTAGTTCTTATGTCAGAATACTTGATGGCGCTGCGATTTTAAGTCATCGTTCAAATGGACATGCATTTTGACCATGAGACCATCACCTCATCCTGCTGTGTGTGTTCTGTGTCTGTTCTGGAAAAGTTTAGACTCCCGGTTTCAAACATCGCCGGCGTCAGAGACTGTAATCTAAACAAGCCGCCAGAAAAAAATGTTCCGGTTTCACTGAAAACCAAATCTGTGCAAATGAGGCTTAAGACGTATGTGTGCCGACAGACAAAAATGGTGAAACTCAGAGTACAGACATCAATGATGCAAAGTCCAAAACACATAAACACACACACACAAAGAAAAACAAAATGCAACAAAAAAAATGCAACAAAAAATACTGCATTGTAGGACATAGAGGCAACAACAACAGGAAGTATAAAACTCTACAAAACAGAAGTGCTCCAGACCACTAGGGGGAGTCAACCACTAAAGCCTTTTGGACCAGACCCTGAATAAAGACGATTTAATGGAATGTCCAGAAGGAAGTTGGAGAAAGAAAGAAAAAGGTCACATTTCATTTCATTCAAAGATTTGAAGATGTTAACTTTTATAATATCTTGCATCTACATAATCATATCAATATTTTTACCTACTTTCTTTGGTTGCAGTATTTTTTATTTGCCTTTTTTTTTTTTTTTGCTTCTGTCTTCTAGGACTACACCTTCTTTTTCTCCTGCATTTGTTTTTCATGTTTGCATGTTTGGAGTTTACATCTTTCATGTGATTCTCTGAAGAAGTTATCTTACCTCCATTAAAATTAAATGTTCCTCAGCCCTCTGCAAAGTAGATTTTTTCCAAAAACTGGCATCAAGAATGCTCAAAAAGCCTCTCTTCAGGTTTCTTTTTGTGTATTTTTTTCTCACCATAGAACATGTTCGTAGCAGATTATTTTTACCCTCTTGTATTTACTAAACAAACAAGCTGCCTTGGCCTCCTTCAAGCAGCCGCTAAATATCAGAACATTGTGGAACGAAAGTCAATACGGTTTTGATCAGATTCATGTTTTGCTAATTCAAAACATGAAGAACGTCAAAACTAAAACCCACGTGACGAACATAATGACATGGGCGGCCTCAGCGTCACACTGGGTGCATGGACGCGTGTCGTCAGCATTATGCATCCTTGGCTGAATTTATTCTAAAAATAAAATACATAAAAATAAATGTTGCAGAGGATATCCTTCACTCAGTCGCTTCATGCTTCAAAGGATGCCTGCAGGTGGGCGGCCTGGCGCGTTCATAGCCGAGCAGCCCTGCTAATTTCTCTTCTGCAATTATTCATCCTACCTGAGGCAGTAGCTTGTTTCAGAAAAAAAAAAACCCAGCAAATACTGCTGTTTATTTTTATTGTTATTATCATTAGGGAACACTGGACAAAAACAAAACCAACAGGGAATACTAAGCACTGAAGGGCTGTTTGACGAGCGGCTGGGCGTCCTCTGGTCCAGAACCTGATTGCCTCCACTGATAACCGGTGTGTTGACTGTGGAGCTCAGCAGTCGTTTTAGGTGCTTTTCAGAAGTGCTTCTAAAAAGCACAAGTTGTTTTTCAAGCTCTCAGCTGTTGTTGCTTGTTGCACATTGTCTGTGTGATGTGGTGGCCACAACTTCACAGGTGTTCTGACTAAAACCAGGAAGATGGAGCACATCACCCCAGATCCAAAGTCCTTCCACTGAGAGAATAGACTTTAAAATAATGTTGTTGGTTTATAAATCACTGACTAACTGAGCTGTAAACTCTAAAACAGATCTGTCTGAACCTTTTTGCCTTGTGGGGAAAAAAATAGTCAAATTAGAAGTACTTATTTTTATTTCAATTACAAAACGTGAAAGTAAATTTATTTTTATTTTTATTTTACTTAAGATAAACTAATACATGGTCAGATTGCTTAAGAAATGGGATTTCTAAATAATATTGATCCAAAAAAATAAAAAGCATTTTGCATTTCCTAAAGATTCTATCCTGTGCTTAATTAAAAATATATATTTTGTGTTGCACCTACAATTTTTCATTCCAATTGGATTGTAATTTGTGGGTAAATAATCTTGCCAGAAAAAAAAAATATCAAAGTGTCCATCTGTGTTAACCACGCGAACTGGTAGACCAAATTTGTAATTTTCACAATTGTTGACTGCATGCCAAGGGCCACACTTTGGGCACCCATCCTCTAAAAGAAGCTGTTTTTACTTGGAAAATAAAAGGGATACAGAAGTAGATCCAAAAATCTGGAGAATACAACAAGTAGTAAACAAATAAATAATAATTTCATCTCTCTGGACTCTCTGGTTACTTGACTGAGCTCTAAAATGGCACGATGTGTTCTGAAAACACCATGCTGCTGCTTTAAGTGTCGCACAGAAACACAAATGTTCATATGCCATAGAACAGGCTGGTCTTATGTTGACCTGCGTTCTGATGTCATGCATCATGATCTGTGAACAGAGTATGCCCACTGTTCACTTCAGTGATGAGTGGGGAGGGTGAGTGTTTGTGTGAAAACGCAATACACAAAATGATGTATTGTTGTAATTTTGTTTCTACAAGAAAAAAAAAGAAGAAAGAAGCAGGTCATGGTTTGAGCGTCCAGCAGACGAACAGGACTGACATGGCTAGACATTCAGCTGAAAAACAAAACCACAGAACTGGACTTGTTGTCTGGCGAAGCGTGACTCTGAAACCCAGCAAACAAAAGGTCATCTTTATTACCACTCATTACAACAGCCTGAGGACAGAAAGCAGGGCGACATGTGACATCAGGCTTACAGCTACATGTATTGTGTAACATGTCACAGAAATGTTAAGCAAGGGAATGCGGATCCACGTTCCTCTAATCAGGCAGGAGAAACCGAGATATGGTTCCTCTCTGTCCAGCTTTTACTTTTCTCTACACAGCGACCTGTCTGCTGCCATTGATTGTAGCTAAGAGGAAAGTCCTTAGGGTTGGCTTCAATCGCTAAGCCAATTCCACTTGTCACTGATAGGCCTCAGGCCAATCCTCGCTGTAGAAATCTGGCTCCTTTTGTTGTTAAACCCCTAAATAACGGATATTTGCTAACATGGACGGAGGCTTCCTGTGCCTTAAAATGGATTTGATTTAACTTTCAACTCCTCTTTCACTGAGAATGATTTATGGATGCTTCTTAAATAGTGTCATTTGTTTAAGCAGCATTAGCATTAGCATTATTAGCATCCACCACAGCTGTTTTTTTTTTTGTTTTTTTTTTTTGTTTTTTTGCCCAAGCATTGAGCTGCCGAGTTTAGCGTAAATGCTAGTGGATGGTGGGAGTTTTTCCAACTCAAACAGCAGAGTCTCATTCCCTGATTCCAAAGCAGCACACACCCACACACACCATTCCTATTACACAGATGAACACAGAGTTTATGACCTGTGGCTGCTCCTGGGGACCCCATGGTGTTTGCTTACATTAGCATTAATTGGGGGGGAGATAAATTTTAATTGTTACAAAGTCCTAAAATGAAACGCAACCATAGAAAACGCTTTTATCTCATTCATTTTTTTTAGATGTTATAGAATATGTAATAATTTCTACAGTAGTGTTCAGAAAAAGGGAAAATAAAATTACACTTATATATACACAAATACATACATACATATCTCAAGTCTTTATACATATTCAAAGAGTGAGGTGAAGAATAACTTGTGGAAAAAACCTCCTGTTGTCCGATGCGTTAGCATTTCCAACTGCTTTGTCGTCTCACAGTTGGTAAACTAAGAAGTTTTCCAACAAAATGGACAAGTTCTGTGTAAAAAACTTAGTTGACTCAAACACAAAGGAGTCATTGGAGATGATGACATGCAAAAAGTCCAAATTTGACTTGAAACAAAACAAAAAACAACAACCACAATGCTGATGCAGTAGAACCATACTTATAAGAATTGGTGTAAATCTAAGTTGGTCAGCAGACATTATGAATCTATAAACAGTTTATTAAACTAGCACAAACTGACTTTGACCCTGGCACAAAATGAAAATAAGCATTTAGGCAAATCACTATAGATACAAATGGATATGTGTAAAATATACAAAATTAAGTTGCATGTGGAGAAACAGTAAGCATGTCCACCAACCCCAGAGGCTGGAGCCAAATCCGACGGCAGTGTTCAACGGCTGGGGCATTTTTATTTTAACTTAATTTATGTAAAGACTTTTCTGTCAGTGTTAGAATGTGACTACCAGACAGCAGAATGAAACACACTGGCAAGAAATCCAACAGATCCTTTTACAAAGATCAACAGGTCTCTCTTGGAAAAATAGATTCCTGATCTCTGTGATGAAATAAATGTTAAATAAAATAAAACTGATCACTCTACCAGCTGGTATGCAGCTGCAATAAGCACATATATAGCAACAGTAACAAGAAAACAGCTCTAATGTTTGACGCATCAGGACATAGTTAAATGGACAGATCCATGCGAGGTTCTAAATTACTGCACAAATCCAGATTCCAAACTGTCATTATTTATTAAACACGGCGAAGGCAAAATGAAAAAGCTGTGCGTCAAACACCACAGCTGAGATGATTTAATCAGGATGCCTTGTGAATGCCTCCCTGTGGAGGTTTCCCAGGCACTTCTCGCCAGTGGAGACAGAAACACCTTCTGTCCTGGAACACACTGAGCTGACTGCCACTGGGGAGAAAGATCACCTGCTTTCCTTCCTTGAACAGCAACCTGATCTCTTATTTGTGGCAGACAATTGATGGATGGGAAACATCATTCTGTTTCCTGTAGAAGCACATCAACAACAGCAGTTATACTCTTGTACCTTGACTTGTGTTTCTCCTGACCTGGTAGAAGCCAATCGATGTTCTGCGCTTCGCTTCATCCACAGGGTTTGGACTCTCAGATATTAAGAAATGATGGCTTCCTGGAGGCGTGGACTGTGTTGAAGTTTGAAATTTTACCCAAAGTTTGCCTGTGACACATGTAATGCACCAGTTTGACACTTTGGAAATTACCTGCACTGTAGACAACCATCCTCCACTGTGCAGAGAGAAGAGCTGATCTGAAAGAGGCGGCCGTGCATGGAAGTGTGACCAACATGGACTGAACGACTTCCTTCACTTCCTCTGCTCCCATTGCTAAAACTACAGACTGACTACAATTCTAAAACACCAGAAAATCAATTTCATCATTCAGAACTTCTTCTGTTTGCTGATAGGCCCCTGTAGAAAATCTACCAGAGGAATCCCAGACGGGGCAATGAAGGGAGATGAGAATCAAACAACTGCGTAGGACGGCAATGGTCAGGGCTAGGTTTCTTATCTGTCGCTGGTTCATTTACTGTACCATTTTAAATGGGGCTGCAGATTTATTTATTCATTTGTTTTAGCGATATCACCTTCCAGAAACAATCTTATTCAAATTAGGACCTTTTTCCACGAAGCTTGTACGATCTTCCAGGTCATGGACGGTTTCTCTCCAGGTGTTCCAGATTCTTCCTGAAGTCCCAAAACATGCAGAATATGTTCCTACGTCTCTGGAGTTGCTGTTAGTTAGGATAGAGTGAATTGTTGTTAGTCCAGTGATGGACTGGTGACCTGCCTCCCTCTGTCCCTGACGACTAGAGGTGGTCACCGGACCTCCATGAACCTGCTGGGATTAAGTGTGTATAGGTGATGAATTGATGCATAGCAAGTAGTCAAGGAAACCCAGCATGGTAAACATCATTATGCAATGCTTTGACCCAAATACATTTGCTTCCTTATCGCGAACTGTCTCCAAACATGACAGGACATAAATCATATTGCTGCTACTTTGGGTGATGACACTCATAATACTGAAAGACTTCCTTTGTGCACATACTGCTAACCTGTCCTAAGGACAGCTTCCATATCTGTGGATGTTATGAGCTGCAGCCGAGTCAGTGACGCAAGATCAGCTCTTATCAGCGTCTCTCCAGATTAGATTAAGTCTTTTGTAAACAATGCGGTTGTTGTGAGGTAAAGCTGAAATTGTATTTACTTATTTATATTTTGGTTTGTTTTTATAATGCAGTAAGTCGCAGAAGTTACATTTATTCGCATCTTTTCGTTTCACAGCCACAAACTTCAATTTATTTTATTCAGATTGTCTGTGATAGATCAATAGAAAGGTGCGTGTGTGTGTGTGTGTGTGTGTGTGTGTGTGTGTGTGTGTGTGTGTGAGATTGTGAACTGGAAGGAAAGTATGTATCATATGTCAGGTGGTGGCTTTAAAAGGAAAATCCAGAAGCCTATTCTTCATCCAGACGTCATTCAGTTCAGTTCATGTCGGATCATTTCAGGTCGTTAGCCGTCCATCTCGTCTTCTGGCTGCCATAACTCTGAAACGCACAGACTCATTCCCACATCCACCTGTGGCCCTCTGGGTATTATCAAAGCAAACTGTACTTATTTGTTTACTAATTTTACTGTTTTTCTTTTGTTTTAGTTTGGATTATAAGTATTTGTAATTATGAAAAGTTGAAACAAGTGAGAGCAGCTGTGTTCCATTACAGCCGTGTGCAAAACTTTGTCAATATTCAGCTAATGTTGAAAAAAAAACACAATTCCTCAATTGTTTCCGATAAATAAGAAATAAAATTGAAATCAGTTTGCTCACATAATGAGTCAGTAAAAAA